GGTCCGGTCTGCTAAAATCGGCCTGAAAATTTGACGGTTCGTACCTCGTCGGCGCGGCGAGCGACAGCCCCCGGGTGAACCTCGATGTCCTTAAGCTTCCCCTCTCCTCCTCATGCGCCATAGCCTCTCGCCGCCGCTGTCGTGCATGCACCGCCGACAATATCCAGTTCTCGACCTGGCGTTGGCAACGTTCTATAGCTGTGGGTTTTGTTGCGCACCAGTGACCATTTCAGCACAGCACACACGTAGGCCATCAACCGGGGAAAACGCTCGATCGGCCGTGAATTTTAGATCGTGGGAGAATCGCTCGGCTGTGATTTTTGCGTCCAACAAATAAGATCGTGGGAGAATCACGCACCATGATCCTACGGTATCGTTTTCTTCGTTGAAGCGTATGTTCAGCTCCACCTACCGCCATGTGATTCTATGAGAAAAGCGTATCTACCGTGCACGATGCAAGCATTGATTTAGTTGGAAATTTGGTTACATGCATATGCGTCTCCACTTCCTCTATCAATTGTGGCAGCTTTTCTCATAACGAGCTTTGTGCCAGAGAGGCTATGCCATGTTTCTACCCACCCTTGTTTTCTTTCATATTATTTTCAAGTTTGAGTTCATTTTATTTTTTGAACTGAGAGTCTATTTTATAGATGTTTTGAATATTTGTGTAAAAAATTATGCAACAAAGTGATGCACTCTAGAACTTGGGAAACCCTACTACAACTTCATAAGAATACATGTTAAATACAAACTCGTAATATTATTTTTGAAACAATTTACCAAGTGCTACCAAGATCCCTGACATTGAGACGCAATAAATTCTTATGTAACATTTTGATACATTATGCTAGGAAATGTCTACAATTTTGTGTGGCTCTATTAAGTATCATCATGTTTTAAAATTCAAAAATTATTTTTTCTTGAAATATATTTAATATTGGTCTTATTAAATAGCTCTCATCACCAGGAACCCACATATGCAGAGATATAAAAATCATACTTTTGACTGAAAAGATATATAAACATGAAAATCAAATGAAAAAGAATGGAATGGTTGACTGTAAAGAGAGAGAAGTGGAATCAGTTGTACTGTATATAAATACACAACAATAGTGTATGTGTCAGAAAGATGCATACAGGGGATATGATCCATTCTCGTGATTCTATCTCTCCCAATGCTCTCTCTGTAACAACCTGCCTAGTCGTCTGCGTCTTTATCACGTGTACATGATTAGTTAGGTCAGCTCAAGAGTTAGTAGGGTTAGTGGTCGCACCTGCGTGTGTATATCCTGTATAATCGTACACCTCCATAACTGAATATGACCGCATTAACTTTCTGCATTTTTATTCAGTCGAACAGGAAACAGAAAGTACAAGAGAAACATGACTTCATCCAAAATCATGACACGTTGCCTCGCCACAGCAACCGCGCGGGCTGCCTACCTCGCCGCTGCCCCTGCATGCTGACGCCGGTGTGGTCGGCCGGTCCAAATGGTGGCTCGATGAGGGAACGGACGCCTTGGCGGCGTCGCCGAGTTCTAGGGTGGTCACCCGGGGACCGATGGTGAAGACGGCTGGCAGGATGACGGGCAGCTTCTCGGAGCTCTACCAATACCCACGCCTTCTTCGCCAGCTTCAAGTCCTTGATGCCCCAGCCGGCCGGCCATGTACTCCGACGCGTATGTGACGATGAAGCTCGCCGTCGATCGTTTCACCCGCAGTACTATTAGGTTTTATCGACTTCCTACCTACGCAGGTGTGTTGATCGATCAGGGAAATTAAGAGAACATATTAGTGTATACACACACACACACACACACACACACACACACACACACACACACACATATGATATGAAGACGCGTGGTAAAACTGACATGAATGGATACGATTGATGACGATGATAAATAGTGGTGAATGTTGGCTTAATTTAGGCATCAAGGGAAGGAATGCTTCCTAGTACTACATCTTTTCCTAAATAAACTACCGATACTATATAGGTTAGAATCAATTATTTGTTTCCTAATTAATGTGATTGAGTGTTTTTTCTTAAAATTGATCATTTGTTTCCTAATTAATGTGGTTGAGTGATTTAAGGTAAGATTAATATAACACGATCTTCTTTAGAGATTGATCGTGATTGATTCTTTCACGGAAAAACATTACTAAATAATTTGCGTCAGCATGGAAAGTTCTGATTCGTTCAGATTTTTTTCCATTGTGTGATAGGGTGACGTGAAACTAAACCGGTGGGGTAAGGGAGGGGATGAAAAAAACCAGCGAAATAAAACGGTTGAAAGTGGTGGGACACATATAAACCGTTGATACAATTCAACCAACTCAGACATTAGGAGTAGAGATATGGGGAGGGGTGGTACACAAAGGACAAAACATTGTCTTAGCCGTGTGTGGCGCCCCCGTCAACAGTTACTCCCTCGGTCATATTTTTATAGTGCTTAGGCGAAGCCCTGTGGAGATCACATCACCATCACCGCCACCACGCTGTCGTGCTACCGGAACTCATCTACTACCTCGCCGTCTTGCTGGATCAAGAAGGCGGAGGACGTCACCGAGCTGAACGTATGTTGAACGCAGAGGTGCCGTACGTTCGGTACTCGATTGGTTGAATCGCAAAGAAAGTTCGAATACATCAACCGCGTTGTCAAACGCTTCCGTTTACGGTCTATGAGGATACATAGACACACTCTTCCTTCTCGTTGCTATGCATCACCTTTGATAGATCTTGCGTGCGCGTAGAATTTTTTTGTTTTCCATACAACGTTTTCCAACAATTAGGGTATAGCAAGGTATGAACTTGTAGGCGTTGTGTGGCAGTGCGCAGAAATTCAAAAGGCATGTTCTTGGGTCTTCTTCGATGGTTTTACCATGTGTGACGGACCTGGCTTCCCTCGAAGCAATTGGGTGTCACAAGGCCCTTTCACTGGCTGTGGACTCAGCACTACAGAACACCATTATTGCTTCTGATCCTAAGGAGCTACTCCCTCCGTTTTGAATTACTTGTCGCTCAAGTGGACGTATCTAACACTATTTTAGTGCTAGATACATTCATTTGAGTGACAAGTAATTCAGAACGGAGGAAGTATTTAAGATATTTCATACTGTTTGGGAGGACATTATGAAGCCATTGTAGGGGGGGGGGGGTGTTATCGCTACGTCAAGCTTTATGAACTGCAGCTTCATCTTCAAGGGTCGAGCCTCCGAGGCCCATAATATTGCCAAGTTTTCTCATTTTTTAGGGCGGGACATCATGTTTGGTTGGGTCAGCCCCATGACCTTTTTTATCCCCATGTTGTTAAACCCCGATCAATAACACTTGGCAAGTCCTAAAAAAAGCAATTTCTTCCGTTGGTTTTCTCTTTTTATATCTATATTTTTAAATTTTAGAAATGCACTTTGAAATAATCTTATGTATTAAAATAAATCATTCATGTATTTAAAAAATGTTGATGCCATTTTAAAATAGTGATCACACATTTTAAAATATATGTTTATATAATTAATAAATGTGTTCACTTATTTTAAAAAATGGGCAATTTTAAGAAGTGTTCACGTAGTTTACAAAAAATGTTTTCTTCATTAAAATGTCCATGCAATTATAAAAAACATGTATTTTAACCAAAAAAAGGGAAAAGGAAAGCGGAAAACCTGAGAGGAAAATAAAACCAAGAACAGATCAAAAGGTAAAAAAAATTAAAATAATTTTTAGGACAAAAAGTAAGAAATGGAAGGAGGAGGAAAAAAGATGGTACAACATAGGAACCTGAACCTGAGCCAGTAACATCGGCATCAAACATAGGAGTACAACAGAAGAAAAAAAAACAAATGATAACGCCCACATATATGGCATGTTTGCATATCGCCCACACGTTTTGATCTACGTTGATTCTGTTTTACTCGAATCCTAAAGAAATCTGTTAGAATCCGAGTGCCACGTGGGTATCATCATGTTTGAGGGCGTTGGAGAGCTCGACCACATGCTCCGCAACACGCGGTTTGTCGGCTGCGCTGTGTGTGCTAATTAGGTTCTGCCCACACAACCACCAACTAGTCCACGCGCGTGTGGGCGAACTGCTTTCTGTCCACACGACACCCATACATTGTTGGATGGCAATTGCAGTTGCGCATTTGTAACAACGATGTAAACAGAATTCGTTGCTAGACGGCAACTGCAGTTGAACGTACTTGGCAACCAGATAAATACACATGAGAATTGTGATAAACCATACATGGGATTGGGAACTATGGTTGAACCACACATGGCAACTAGATAAACACACATGGCAAATATTGTTTGATCACATGTGGCAAGTAGTTAATCACACACGGTAATTATGGTTTGATTACACGTGGCAACTATCATGACAACTATAGTTAACCAAAATAAAAAAAGTTGACATGTTTTTACAACTACATTTACCATCTCGGATAACTACATCTATCACCCTCGATGACAACTAAATCGTCATCCCACAGATACCTAACGTAGTTGCGCTAGGATGCGTGAACATATTTGTTTCGTGCCACACGTGTGAGGTGGGGATGAGTAGTACTTATTAAACGTGTGACACGAAATAGCTGCGCTCACACGTGTGGACAATTTTAATGTTCGTTCACACCCAACCCGTAAGGACTGCCTCCCGCTCACGCCATACATGATGTATGGACGGATGTCTAATTTACCACACATGTGAGCGTTATTCGGACCCAAAGAAAAAGGACACGAGAAATTCACGCAGCCGCATCGGCATCAACCTCCACCCCGCCGTCTCCGAATTCTCCAATTCCAGTGGAGGCGAACCAACCCTTGATCGGATCCCGACTCCGACTGCTGGCCGGAACAATGGTAACGCAGTCGGAGCCAGCACCAACCTGTCTTCCTCCACCGCCCTCAACCATGGATTTATTCTCCACCTCCTCCTGCGTCCGCCGGCGATTTTCTTGAACCCCTCGCCGGCTTGTCTGACGCTTCCAACGACGACATGGATAGTGCGGAAGATCGACCCTCCTTGGTTGCGGAGGAGAAGGACAAGCAGCCTGTTCCCTTTAGTGACGCTCCGTCTCCAGTGCGCGCCGTGCTCAACCGTCCGTGGCCATCCGCCGTCGTCATCCGGCCGGAGGATAATCCGTCCGGAAAGTACCGCACTCTGGTGGGTACCGCCAAGGACATTGGGGACCTGATCTCGCCGGAGGAGATAGCCGCGCTGGAGGACAAGGAGGGCGACGACGCAGGCACACGGTTCTATAAGGCAGCTGCTCGGGCCAACGTCGTTATGAGGAATTACATCCATGAACATGGCAGCCTTTACATGGATGAGAACGGCAAGTACATGATGGACAACTCCGACCAAGTTGAGGAAATACGGTAATATTTATTCGCCTCTCCCTGCCACTCGAGAAATTATTCATGCATACTTGTTTGTTTTTGGTCCATGTCAAACTTTATCCATCACTTATCTTCTGCTCAGTTTCCTCTTCGCTTTTATGATCATGATTTGTTAGAACTTCAATGGGTTGATATATAGTAGTATCCGGGAATTTTCCTTTCGGCAAAATTGATTCTTTACAAGCATTGGATTTGACTTACTGTAGATCTGCAAGTTGTAGTCTTCCCCTATCGACGGCTTTGACCAAATGCACACACTCTTTTGTTGCTTGACCTTGTACTAAGGAGCCATTGTCTTGCGATTGGCTCAAACTCCTCAATATGTTGAAGCTAATTCCTCCTGCTCTCCTGTACCGCTAATGGCAGTTAGAAGCTACAGACCGTGAGCGATATTTGAAGCTTCCTCACTAGTCAGTTAGTGCGACCTGGTTGAATTGTCAAAATTGTTCAGCTTAATATGAACTTACAGCGTTCCACAATGGTTGAGTGTTTGTGCAAAGGCTAAATAATAAGGTTGTTCGCGAGCTGATTTTGCTTTTACTTTTCTATCTCTTTTGTTTGAACTTCATTCCCTTTTGTCACTGAAACTGTAAGCAAGGAAGTTAGGTCTTAATTCACTGGTGTATATTTTCACGTACTGTAAATCAGAAATTCCTTATTTGTCTTCTTAATGCTCTAATAATATGTTTCTATCATTGCAGTTGCAAGCATGTTACAGCAGAAGAAATGGAAGCAAAGATAATGAAGCAAGAGATGACTAAGGAGCAAACTTATTTATCAGAACTGGCTTTAGTGAGTTTCAACAAGAGGAGAAAGGTATAGCAGCCATTTTCCTATCTTCCATTTGTTATTTGGTTTCTGCTTATAAATTGTATGCAAGTAGGTGTTCTGTTGCGTGCCGGTATGTAGTCTTAGAAGAATACCAGATTTTATTTCTTGACAGTGTAAATAGAAACCTAAGCTCGCATCCCTGAGGACTTGAACGTGGGTTTTGGATTTTGGGTTTGTACATGAACTCTCCCAACCAAGCGAGTCCTGAAAATATTAAATTAGGATCACTAGCTAGTACCATGAGCGGCACAAACTGCATGTTTCAAAATACTTTAAGTGTAATTTATGAGTGTTTCACTTAAACTTAGGGAACCTTTTGAAGATTACAAAAATTCCCTATTCCACTTCTAGCATTCTGTAGTGGCTACTGATAATAATTCTTGTTAATCCAGTTAGAAGAATTAGCAGCCAACTCCATTGCATAGTTTGTTACGAATTTCTAGCTGTACATAATAGGCATTTCGTTTTATTGTGTCCAGTTTTGGTTCTTCTAGTGGTGCTTCTTTGTACTGGATATTTTGTTCCCTTAGAGTTGCGTTTGATTATCTTATTAAGTTCCGCTTTCTGCTAGTTTGCAAGTGCAATCACCAATTACTTGCACCACATTACTGTGACAGTGCTTAATATATAGCTGCACATATATTTTCTAAATCTGCTTTTTATTTTCCTCTCCTCTTTCTGTGCCGAAATTGTAGGTGAAGTTTGAGTTGTGTGAGACATTGCTTTCTAGACTCTTTTACGAGAGCAGACGTATTTTTACGCACGTAAATTTCGTCGCCATGCGCAAGGATAAGAAAAAACTCTTTTTCGCCGAGATAGAGGACCGCGGACAGGGTCGTGAAGAGATCTTGAAAGTACGCTGTTGCGTTCCCCTGGATTCATTGTGTGAAGGTAAGCCTGCCGAATCTTCAGAATATTGTTCCACATGAATGATTTATTGGTTATGTGTTTATTCCCTATTCACCAGTTTGTTGCTATATATTTTGGCACTGAACGGCGTCTTACTACTGTATTTGTTATGCAGGCGGTTATTATTACTACTGTGATGATCCTAGACGTGGCTGTAGGAAAGGGTTTGACTTCACACGATGCTACGGCTGCAGCGAGTTCCTGAAACATCCGGTTGATGGTTCGACCTACTCAGGAGGCCATGACCATCGGAGGAGGAATTATATAGTTTAGAACGTTGTTTCATTTATCAGCCGTGTAGCCTCTTGGAGGTCCATACCGGACCTTGTAGCAACGGGGAAAATATCGCCAGCCTGGTTTGCTGAGGTGTTCATTTTCAATTCGAATCGACACCGATACGAAAGATGGATTGTGCGTTATTGATTAAGGTTACACTCTAGCCGCGTCACATGATACGGTGATCTCCCTGGTGCAGGGAGACCGTCGTCATCTCCCCGGCGCGGTTGGATCCTTTTGGTCTAGTTTCCGACAGAGAAGGCGGTGGTCCGTGCACAAGAAGCTGGATGGAGTTCTTCGAACAGATCTGGGTGAAAACCTGCTCTTGGTTAGATGCCAAAGCCGTCGGTGGCGGCGCTCTACGTCGTCGTTCCCTTCTTGAAGGAATCACCGAGAAGTTCTAGACTACTATCTGCTACCTCCGGGGAAACCCTAGATCGATAGATCAGAAGATGGCGGCGCGATTGTGTCGTTTCCCCCTTGAGGGCGTCTTTCTTAGAGGTGTACGCAGGCACGAGGGATCATTGGACGACGTCTTTGGTGGAGCGGTGCTTCATCATACACATTGATGGTGACAGATCTCGATGGCATGGCGCCCTGGAGATTAGGCGTCTGATGTGCGATGATGGACTCGCGTAAGAGGGTGGCGCTGTCTGGCGTCGTGGTGGCGTCGATGGAAGATAGACCGGGCAAGATAGATGCAGCAGTACAACTCTGAATATGGATTGGTGGCAGGTGGCGGCGGTGGCCTCTGAGTGTGCGCCGGACCGGTGGGTGCCCCATACCCGGCATGCGTCCTGGTTGGGGCCCCAGGTCTTAGATGTTAGGTTTGGCTGCGAGGTCTGTTTGGTATTAGGCCCAAACTATCAGCATCACTTCATCAACTGGATAGGAGTAGCGACAGATGTGCCTAGACGGTGGCTTTAGTTTTAATGTTGTATTACTTTGTAAAGTCTTGTGTGAATAATTAATAAAGTGGCTGCATGCATCGTCTCAAATGCAGAGGCCAGTGGTCTTCTTCCTTTTCTAAAAAAAACACCCTAGCCGCGTCCTCGGATATGAATTCTTGGAAGCTTACATTGTTCATAGACAATTTGAAGTGGATATTCTAAAATGCGCAAGATAAGCGTGAGTGCTATGGATGACCTTCTCATAGGGAGACCGGAGCGGATTCATAGTGGTGTATTGGTATGGTGACTATGTGGACTCGTGTGCGCTCTCTCACCTCAAAAATAATACTGGCAGTCGTAGTACAAGTTAGCCAAGAGTTAAAGCTGGCTTGCTACCGTTAAACTCCACAGCCCCATTGTTGATACTGATGCGTAAGTAGTTAGTTCTGATGTAAGTCTTGTTGGGTACATTTGTACTCATGTTTCCTTATCTTATATTTTGCAGAGGAGACTTCAGTTTCACTAGTAGATTCACGTGGGCTCCGACAATTAGCTTGGAAATCTCAGTCAGAGGTCTAGTTCCTATGAAGGGTCTTGTAGATAGACATGCTTTATAGCCTTCTTTCTTTTCAGATGTCTGTACTCAGACATGTTTATGCTTCCACTTGTTACTTGTATGACTTGTATGTTGGGTCATGAAACCCATGTTTGTAATATCATGCTATGTATGCTTCCTCGGAGCTTCTTGAAGTGATACTTTGAGTCGTAGAGTTATCTTGTGATTCCATGTTGTATCTACACATATCGAGCATATTGTGTGTATGTTACTGAAATGCTTTGGTATGCATGAGATTCGACACCTAATTGTTTATTCTTGGTAGCCTTTCTTATGGGAAAAAGCCTCCTAGTACTTCCTTCCGGAACACATGGATTGACCGACATGTGTCCTTCTTTGCTCATGTGCCTATCCCTACAGGGAAATGTCACGCGGTATTTACCGGAGTCCTGATAGCTTACTAGAGCCCGGTTACACCCGCTGTTGGCCCACACATGCATTGCTGGGTCACGTATGTCTGTCCTGTAGGTTTGTGCCACCTTGGTTTAAGTCATGTCGACCCGGGTTCTCTGTCATATGGATGCTAGCATCACAATTATATACGTGAGTCCAAAGATGCAAACGGTCCCGGCCAAGGTAAAGATGGCAACCGTGGGTTACTATGCGTGAGGCCGCAAAGTGATATGATGTGTCTTATGCTAGATCGATGTGACTTAGTATCGGCTTCTCGACATAGCATTTAAAAAATGGCTAACAGGTAAAATAACTTTATATTTTAAATTGTACACATTTTTCTAATCAAATTCTATATATAACGTGTTAAAATTTAATTTAGAGTTTAAAAGATATGGATATTTTTGAAAATCACATGAAAGAAATATGAATTATGTGGGAAAATATGAAGGAGAACCTGGGTACCAGCACACCCTATATGCAAAAAAAAATTAGTAATTCAAAAAAGTCCAAAAAATCCCAAATCTTTTTTGGTATTAAACATGATCAAGTATTGTAGTCGTATAAAAATGTATGTCAGAGAACGACTTTCGCTGCATCCTGGGTCGAAGATTCGGCAAAAAATGCTATATACAAGTACTATAAACGCTATATTGTCGTCATAAACTTGTCTTTTTTACCGTGAAGTCAATATGAATCATTTCTTGTCCAAACCTTTTTATACGAGTACAATATCTGATCATGTTTGATTCCAAAAAAGATTTGGATTTTTTTGAACTTTTTTTTGAATTACTAATTTTTTTTTCCGTATATAGGGTGCGCGGGTACAAGAGAGCACCAAGTTCGCGTCCGAATTATGTGCTACTAATTTAGGTTGCACCCTAATTAACATTTTTTATGTTTTAATAACTGGTAAAATAACATCATTTTTAGATTCTACATAATTTTTAATCAAATTCAATACATAACATTTTCAAATTGGACTTAAGGTTTAGAAGATATATGAATATTTTTTATAAGCATTTGGATCTGCCCTTGTAACCCAAACTTAGGGAGTTTACGAAATATGCAGGAAAAAAAAATCCTGAACTCACTTAAACCTGAACGATGTGTTGATTCAAGAAACCACAGTTTTTTTTTGTAAAAGCGACCGACTCACTTAAAACTGGACCGTGGGTTGATTTTAAGAAACCACATGGAGTTTTTGTAAAAAAGCGAAAGACTAACTTAAATATGGACCACATGTTGAATTCAGGAAATAGCAGAGTTTCTTTTGTAGCCCATAATGCAGACGGGCAGAAGCAGTCCTTTCTTTATAAATAGGTACACTTGTGACACATTTTTATGTACACCCTCTGTTTCTAAATATTAACTTTGAAGAGGTCTTGTATTTAGAAACAGAGGTAATACTTTGGATTAATGCCCGATATATGCAAGCTCATGGTGCGTACTCTGATGTATTCACTAAGTGTGTACTTGTGTGAATTTGACATGGTTTCGTATGGTATTTACACCATATAATTAGTATGATATGTATCTCATGCCTTTTTGTCTCTCTAATATATATACATCCAAGTGTAATATGGTATTTGCGCCATACTAATAAGAAAAAGAAAATAAAAAGGAAAGTTGTAAAAAAAGAAAAAAGAAAAAACCTAGAAACCCGCTAAAAGAAACACAAACAAACCTAAGAAAAAAATAAAACCAACGTTGGAATACACATGAAAAAAAATATGCCTAGAAAATAGCTCCAGCTGGAATCTGAATTGGCCAGCCAATAAAGCCTTTTGTCTTGCAGTAGGGTGAGAAATAACTGGATTTTCTGAAATCACTAACTAAGAGGTACCCCTTGCAAAGTTCACTCCTCGCCGGAGAAGTGCTGACAAGTGATGTATTGCATATGCGTCAATTGTCGCGACCTGGGTATTTTTCCCTTCGTTGTAGATTCGTTTCTTCAAAATGGAATATGTCCCGAACTGTGCATCTAAATATCGACCTTTTTCATCTTTGGATTTCTCGTGTCGAGATCTTTGAAATTAGAAACCATGTTAATTGGTTTTGATGAACTCTTTTTCCAAGAAAAAACCAGGAAAAATCAGAAAAAAAAACAAAAGTCGGAAGAAAAAAATGAACCCGGTACCACAGTTACGTTTTCACTTTTTTTTGGAAATATAGGTTGCGCTTTTCCCTTTTTTGAGGAAGCACATATGTGTTTTTCCATTTTTGGAAAGCACAAATGAAACTACTACATGGACGAAAATTGCGAGACAAACTTTGCACAACGAAGGATTGGACGGTGCTGGCCAGGTGTGCAGTACACACAGACGACTCGATGAGATGGGTTGTCCGAAAATCGTTTGGAGACTGTCGTGTGTACAACATCTCTCAAGCACAAATGTGGTTCTCGTGGAATCACAGACCGTGCTTCTCGTGGAAGCAAGGTCGTGTGCTTCTCGCGGAAGAGTAACAGTGGTTCTCGCAAAAGCACATGCCGTAACTTTCACACAAGTAAGGAGTCCAATTTTTTAGTACATTTTCACCTCTTATTTTGTTCCCTAGTGCGGGACTCTTCAGATTTTACCAAGTTAGCGCACCTTTTATATTTGTTTTCGCAAGGTTGTCACTTGCAGAAGCATTTGAGAGTGTAAGGAAAGAACATCAAACTATGGTGTAAAATCACGCTAATTAACGTGATTTATTATTTGCTTAAAACAATAAAGCAAAGTGGAGAAGAAAGGGGCCTTGTGGAGGAGTCTAGAGCGCTCAACGGTGCACGGTATGAGCGTAGGCGCTCCTACCACTGGTCGTATCGTGCGTCGTCAATGCCGCCTGGTCAACTACTTCACCCC